TTACGTTTGCATTTTGCAATGGGTTTTTTTTTTTTTTTGGTTTTCTTTTTTGTCCCGGCATTTTAGCCCTATAAATAACATATAGCATTTTCATTTTTTTCCCCATAAACACAAAGGCGCTTCAAGTGAACTCCCCCTTTCACTCACTGCTCGGTCACAGCAGCCTTTTCCCTGCCCTGTCCAGACTCTCTCTATGGGCAAGCACCCCTCACTCCTGACCCACAGGGGGAGCAGGGTGCAGGGACAGCACAGAGCCAGAGGGGTGCAGGGAACAGTGGGGGAGTACAGGGCTGGCGAAGGGAACGGGAGGCACAGAGCCAGAGGGATGCAGGGATCGGGGGTAGCAGGGTGCAGTGGAGGCACGGGGATGGGACGCGGGGAACGGGAGGGGCAGAGGGATCGGTGTTTAGAGGCAGTGCAGGGAATGGGCAGCACAGAGCTGGGGGGGGTAGCAGGGATCAGGGTGTAAGGGCGGCACAGAGCCAAAGGGTCGCAGGGAAGAGGGAGAGCAGGGGGTCTGGAGTGTAGGGCAGCGTGGAGACAAAGGCGGGCTGGGGCCGTGGCAGGACTGGAGCTGGCAGGGCGGGCCCTGCCAATGCCACATGCCGCAACCAGCTCCCAGGAACACACGGCCAGAGCCGAGCTGCTGCGGCCCTTTAAAATCAGCAGGGCCAGGTCACGCCAGCGTTCTGGCGTCCCGCTCCGCCTCCTCGCGCCGGAGTGCACGCAGGCAGCCCGGTGGGAAGACTTGCCGCACTTCCCCCTTCCCAGCAGCACTGTGCTCCTCCGCTGGCCAGTGGATCGGATGGGGCCGCGCCACCCGTAGTGCCGGCTTCAGCCAGCCCGTCATAACTGTCCACCAGGCCAGTCCACCCCTGCACTCGCCAGCTGGAAAAATCTACTTGCCATGGGCAAGCGGGCGAGTGCATTTGTTGAGCCCTGGATTTAGCTTATACAAGCAAGAAAAAGTATGTGTACAAACGTCCCCCTTACTCGCCCATCAAATAAAAGTTTTTGCTTTGAGAAGAATTTTGTAATTTGGTGTATTTTTTATTTATTTATTTATTTATTCATTCATTCTTTGCTTTGAATTCCCTCCACACATGGATCCTTCTTGCGCGCACACTTTTTTTCTCCTAAAAACCCCCCCACTACCTATACTGGCAGAAAGGATTTCCACAAAAATGAAATTGCATGTGCAATTATATAATAGTCATTCTAATTTCAAAAGTTACCAAACCCAAGTTTTTTCAGAAGTTTAGCAGGATCTCATTCACTGGTGAATACGGATATAATGTTTAAGTAAAAAGCTGAGACGTCCAGTAATTTGGATTGAATACAAGAAAGCTCTAAGCATTTTAAAAGATGCAATATTTTTTATGCTTGTAGTGGGGTGCTCACCCCACTCCAGGCATAAAAAGGGTTAAAACAGTCCTGGGAGAGGGCTATAGCTAGAAGCCAATCATGAGAGGTTTTGTGGAAGCCAATCAGAGCCCAGAAGGGCTATATAAAAAAGACAGCTGGTCAGGTTGAGCACACTCACAACTCCAGCCCTGGAGGGGGAAGGACCTGCTAACCAGGATACCACAGACAGAGAAGTGCTGAAGAAAGGCAGGGTGAGCAAGGGGAGCTCCAGCCTAAGTAGTTCCAGGCTGAGGCCAGCAACAGGGGCCTGAGGGATACTAGGGCTGCAGGGGAGGAAGCCAGGGCAAACAAAAGCAGCAGGTCCCCACCCACTTGCCTATGGTGAGTGGCCACGTCAGACTTCAGTTTGGCCATGAGGACTGGCAGTAGGGTCACTGAGGCAAGATAGGTATAGGTGGTTGGGGAGGGGAGGTTCTCTGAGGGAAAGGACCCCACGGTGTGCGTGCACGGCCATGGAGAAGTACCTGTAGGGAAGGGTGCCACAGTCTGGGAGGGGCGCAGGTCCTAATGCAAGGTGGCGGAACCATTAACAGAAAACAGCAGATGAGATACCAGTCAGAAGAAGGTGCTTAGTGTAGCAAATTACCAGAGTGACCAGAAGGAGGCACCACAGTAATGAGTTGCACCATGTTATATAAGCATTGTAACAAAAACATTTGTTTTTGTCTCATTTTCAAAAATGAAAATAAGAGGGGAGGTGCTACATCTACAGTTGAATCACATCTGAAAGTTAGATACTAAAATCTATAGCATTGTTATAAATATGACTGATTACTGGCCCTATACTCACTTGGTTTCATGGCATTCGGGGCGTTGGAGGATGCATTGCCCCAGCCTGTTGTTGACGCTCCTGTATCATCTACTTCACCCCACCCAGGGCTGGTTTCATTTGGCTCACCCCAGGCAGACGTACCATTATCTGGAGCAGGTGGTGTGCTTTTGTTCCAGACTGCATAAAGAAGAGATCTTTTGTTATGGACAGTTTACTGACATTCAACATAGCATCACCAAAAACCCTACTGCTTCCTCCTTTCTGGTGTAGCTTTAAAAAGTATAAACTGGAACTTACTCAATTGCAAACACTACACCCGCAGGGGCTTGACTCTCAGTTCTAGGAATGAAAAGGAAGATGACCCTAACTTTAGAAATGCTATGAGAAACATTCTTACTATTGTATCAACTTAAATATGAAGCCTATCCCTGATGCTAGCTTACTTAATTTTTTTAATAGGAAAAGTGATTAGTGCCAGGGTGTACAGAAATATAATATACTGAAGAACAAGGATAAATTTAAGTGCACACTGAAAAAATAAACAACATAATTTAAAGTATGACATGGTCAGAAAAGCAGCTATGTAAAAATGGCACCTTGCCATTATGTTCTGTGTATTCTAACTCCTAGCTACTTACTTTGGAATAAACACACACCTATTTTTTATTCTGAATAGCATAGTACAACTATGGAAGCATAAAATAGGTTATAATGTGGCTCATATATGTCCACAATTATTAAAACAGAACTGTGCTCTGCATTTAGAAATTAGGGAAGTTGAATATATGCAATTTCTCTGACGACAATGGGGTTTCAGAGATATAAGCGAAGACAGAATTTGGACAGTAAAATCTTTTACAGGTATTGATGTACAAACTAAGAACAACATATTTTGTCTTTCAGACCTCAGGTGGAGTTTGCAGCCTGGGCCATGCTGCTTCCCATGGTTCCCCTTGACTGGAAATGGCAAACCGTGGCTACGGAACCTTTAGGTAAATAAAGTAGCACGGACCTACTAGTTGATCTCTCAATGCGGGCCCACAACCAAACTTTGGGAAACAATGGTTTAGACCAATGGTTCTCAGACTTTTGTATTGGTGATTCCTTTCACACAGCAAGCCTCTGGACTGTGACCTCCTCCTCCCCACTTTATAAATTAAACACACTTCTTTTTTTTTTACATTTAACAAAACTATAAATGCTGGAGGCAAAGTGTTATTTGGGGGTGGAGGCCAAGAACTTATGATTCCCCTTATGCAATTATCTCGTGATCCCTCAGAGGTCACGACCCCCAGTTTGAGAACCTCTGGGTGTAGACATATAATGCCATATACTCTACTGAAGAGAAGGAAGCAAAACGGTACCTGATGCTGTTGATTTGCTAGTCATTGGAGTAGGCAGGCTTTGTTCTCGTGGAGTCTGTCCCCCTTGCGAGTTCTTGTCCCACAGGTTCACGTTTTTGTAGTTATAACTGTTAGGGTCTCCCCATGCTGAAGTGCCATCATCAATATCCATTTTCCGACTGATTGATTGTGGAGAAGGTTCTTCCCAGCCACTGGGTTCCTCATCCTTGGGGGCAGCTGGCTGTGGCCCACTGTTCCAGTTTGGATTTGGAGGTCGGCCATTACCCGGAGGTTGTGGGGGCTGACCCCAGGAGCCCGGAGCCTCCTGCTGCTGCTGCTGCTGCTGCTGGTGCTGCTTATTCCAGGAATTGGGCTGTCGACCACTCTCATTCCATGCTGGCGTTCTTTTACAATCATCCCATCCACCCTTTGAAGCAGCATTTGCATTTGCACCATTACCCCAAGTCCCAATCTCATTTTGTGCACCTTCACCCCAACCCGACACTGGTTTGTTTCCTGCACTTTCCCAATTACTGTTTTTTGCTTGGTCAACATCCTCTCCCCAACCGTTCTTTCCTGAAGACCATCCTTGATTAGGTTGGCGTCCACCCCACCCTTGATCCTTGTTGGAATTATCATTCCAAGAGGAAGAATTCTTTTCTTCTGGTCTTCCTCCACCCCAACTAGAAGAATTGTTGTTCTTATAATCATTCCACCCTCCTGTGTTTTTGGGGTCCTTCCACTCTGTGGGAGTTGAGAGCTCACCCCATCCAGACTTGTTTTGATTGCTTTGGCTGGGTGCATCTCCCCAGCCCCCTGAGTTCTTTGTCTGTGTAGCAGAGCTCTCCCACCCCTCAGTTCCTTTATCAGTTTTCCCCTCAGGTCTTGGCATCTCTTCAATATCCCAAACTGTATCTTGCTTAATTTGAGTTTGGCCCCAGCCAGTGTTTGAAAGCACACGGGGGTCCAAATCAGTCCTGCTAAGCAAAGTCTGCAAGACTGCTTGGCAATCAGGATGTGTAGGCCGGTACGATCGGCGTCCAGAATTGTGACTGTCACTACTTCCTGCTTTGTGGTTACTTCCAGTGCTTTGACCTCCAACTTCACTTCCTGTAGAGCTGGAAGATCTTCCCCAACAGGGAGCCTGGGAATTGCCTTGGTTTTCAGGAAGGGGGTGGCCCTTTTGATTGTCCCATGCTCCAGTGCTAGAATTTGGTTGGTTTGGACCACTCCATTCTCCAATTTTAAGTTCATCAGACCCCGACGGCTGTTTCCATTCTCCCTGAGAGACCCCAGATGCCGATTTGTTCCCTTCACCCCATTTGTTTTCATTTGAGTGCTGAGGGCCAAAGTTCCAAGACCCACCACTCAAAGACCTGTTATTGTTATCCCAAGAATCATTTCTTGACCCATTAGGTTTTTGAACAGAAACTCCTTTCCAGGAGTCCTCTCTATCCTTTCCATTGTTCCCATGGTTTCCAGAATTGCTTTGTCCAGCAGATGTGTCCGTTCCAGAAGGCCCCCTAGATGTACCCCAAGATCCAACACTCCCAGCCTTTCTTTCTCCAGTGCTTTGTGAAGGGGCATCAGTGCTTCTGGAGGGGTTCCCCAAGCCCATTTCAAAGGGCATTCCCTTATTCTCCATAAGGTTTGGCGAACTTAAGTTCAAGGAGTTAGTGTTTCCATTTTTTGGTCCATCAGTGTTATGTATTTGAGCCTGTTCTCTGCCAGAGACAACAAAATTAACACCCGCGTTTTCCATCTTTGACTGCTGTTCCCTGGAGGTCTGGCCTACTGAGCTGATCTGTGCATTGGCGTTACCATTATCAGACTCCAAAATCCCTTTCCTAGAATTGCCCTCTTGAACCAGAGCTGGCCAAGCAGATGGGTTGCTATTTGGGTTAAAGTTGCTGAAGCCAGAACCAGGAACTATTCTGTCCTGCCCACTCAAATTCCTCCAATTTCCTAGTCCATTGTTACTCTCTGCAGCAGGGTTGGAAGATTGAACAGATTTAGCTTTGGGGTCAGATTTCCAGGCCCCAAGATTACATTCGTTCCCAGCACTTCCAGACTGACACTGGCTTCCTTTTCCTTTGTTACTAGTGGTGCTTCCTGGCAGAGTGCTCTTCTCTGAGCCAGGGTTTGAGGCACTGTTATTATCGGTGGTATTTTCGGAAGAAGACTCAGCGTCTTTGCTGGCAATACAAGGCCACTCTTCCATGTCAGACCCGTCTACAATCACCTTGTCCCAGATGTGAGTTGGGTTGGCATTGGTGCCATTGTTGGAGGAGGCTCCAGAACCCCAAGTGGAATTTGCATAATTTGAAGCAGCAGCACCTCCAATTGTTGAATCTAAAAAGATGAAGGTTATTACTATTTGTTACTATTTACAAGCCCCTTAAAAATTGCACTTCCAGACAACGCCAATTATTGTTTATTTTAAAATCTTGTTTTTCATGGACCTATAAACTCAGCTGACTATAACAGAACATAACTCTGGAAAATGGTATGTGAGCTACTCTTACTAAAACAATTCAGTGGTCCAGAAAAAAGATCCTCACACTCAATTTTATAGATGCGTCAAACCTTACTGAGGACTATTTCCTTTTGCTGACAGTCCTGTCATTCAACTTAAAGCAGTAATATTTTTAATAATACAAAGGCCACTGCTGATGTCAACTGAAGATTTTTATAAGGCTGGGTCTAAAATTATAATGTGCTGGACAAAATTCAGCACTGAAAATAACATTCAAATATGAGTATATGTTATAAAATTTCCTTCTTTGTTGTGTGTGTGTGTGTGTGTATGTACACACACACCGCTGCCTCTGTGATATCCACTCCCATTCATCTGATGACATGGGTTTTACCCACGAAAGCTTATGCCCTAATAAATCTGTTAGTCTCTAAGGTGCCAAAGGATTCCTCGTTGTTTTATATTGGCTTGGCATTCAGTGGATTTGCCAAACAAGGAAAGGAAGAAAGGAAAGTGTTTCCAAAAAAATCACCTAACAGGAGGGTGGAGTATTTAACAAGTCCTCCCTCCATTCTATTACTTTATCAAACACTCTTACGTTGATTTTCTTGTTACATATTCCTTTCTTCCCCTCACTGTGCATATTATACTAATTTTGCAAAATCAGTGTATGTAAAAAAATTAGTTCAAACGTTTACTTAATTGACACACACACTTGCATTCAACATAGCCCAGAGATATCCATTCACAGGATTTACATTGGCTTACATCAGCTATAAAATCTGACTTACTATAACACTAGATCGTGAGTTCTGGCTTTGTGGTTATTTCACATGTTCCAAAGATGTGTATCATAGTAGTCTGCAAGTATTCCTCTGCTATTCCTTGTACTACCGCATTGATATCAGATTAATCTTTAAGAAAAACAAGTTTGGTCCTCAATTTAATGCTATGTTCTCTCTGGTGCGGTTTGTAATTTTTTCTGTCCAATTCTAACCTCAGTGCCTTCAAGATACCCTGCTAAAAATTTTCCAAAGATGACTATTCTCCATCTCCCCTATGTTCATTTCTTCTGTAGTAAGCCCTGATAATACTGTGGTATTTGGCAATTCTGCTTCTCCAGTAGAGCTAATATGATAAGGCAAGAAATTCTCAACAATATTTATGTGAGTATCTTGAGCATCAGGTCTACATATATGCTTTTACCATATAATTGGCACTGGCTAGAGTCATGTTAAGTCAGACCGATCTAAAAACATTTCTAATACATACTTACACACAACGGATCTCTGTTTTACTTATATATTCAAAAGTGACAAAATAGGAAGGTTCAGTTACTAATGTATTTATTAAAGACAAACAGAGTTTGTCCATACAAGCTCTATGCTTTTTCAGAGTTTGTCCATACAAGCTCTATGCTTTTTCAGTTTACTAGCTGATGTGATGGTCACTCTCTCAGCTGACCTTCCAAACCACAGTGAAGAGCTGCCCATCAATTAAATAAGCTCTTTGTCAGTAGAAGAGCCACACTACACATGAAGCTGAAACCCTCTGGTTAACTTGGACCATTGGGGACCAAATTAGATTTTCTTCAGCTGTGAAATATTTTAGGCAAGGATATATAAGGAGATACGGCTCCCGTGTACCTTCATTTCTTTCTATTTTCTTAGACTCCAACTATAGACTGTGCCATAGGAAGACTGGCTGTAGTCAACCATCACTCAAGGTAGTGTGGAACTGCACTGACAATCTTACAAAGAATTCCAGTTGCACATGACTAACTGTCTGCTCATGAGGTAATACCAGCAAGGCTGGGAGACTGATCAGTGAGAACTCTCTCTCTCGCTAGTGAAGAGGGGCATTTGAGTAGTAGACTAGGGCCTGGATTACACTATCCTGAGACACTGATCTAAGTTACACAACTTTGGCTATGTGAACAACATAGCTAAAGTCAATATACTTAGATCTACTTACCACAGTGTCTTCACTGCAGTAAGTCGAAAGCTGATTCTCTCCCATCAATTCTACCTGCGCTTCTTGTTCTGGTGGACTACCGGAACAGACGACAGCACACTCAGCAGTTGATTTATTATATATATCTATTAGACACAATAAATCAAATCTGGCTGGATCAATTGCTGTCTGTCAATCTGGCAGGCAGTATAGACAAGCCCTAGTTAAAGACTACAGGGCAGCTCTCCAAAACTACTCCTCAGCTCCTGAGACCAACACAAGAGAATAATTCGGCGTGCAAAGGTATATCTACTACTCTCATATTTTTACAATAGGAATAATTTGGAAGCAGTCTTGGGCCTCCTGAATGTGTTCTAACAACATCCAGGACAGGAGTGTCTGCTAAGCCACGGAATGTGTTTTGCTGCATTTTGACAAATGTTGAAAGGAAACTGTCCTCTCCAATCATCCCAAACCCCACAAATAATTTTGGGGATTTGGAGAAGGGTTTTGTACTACTAAGACCATAGCTAAGGGCCTGCTTGTAAGATCACCTTCCCTGGTAACATATGAAGATAAGCAAGCTTCTCATTTGACTGAGATGAAAATTAATTACTATTTTATAGATGAATTTCAAAGGAAGATTAAAAGTGTTACTGCTTTACATCTTAAATATAAACTATAAATGACACGTATCAGTAATTAATTCTTGGAGCTCAAGAAGTCTCCAGCCTCATGATGTTGCCTCAAGAAACAGTCTTCAAGGAGTGACCACAGAATATTCTCCCACAGGCTTAAATCAAGAAACTATCATCTTGGGTTGTACTAATATATTCCCAAACAGGTGAGAGAGCATTAAGACATCTTTTCTAAAGCATATTATCTGTAAAATGTATGCGGTTTCTTTTGTATTGGAATATGAAAAGCTGAGATGCATACTGTAAAGTTCTGCCTATACTAGTAGTATTATTTACCAAAAACTTACCACAGTAGCTAAAACTATGGCAGCAACAATGTGTGACAAGATTGGAGCCTCAGTATATGGACCACTTACTGACTCCAGCAGCTGTTTTCTGCACTGGATTAACTGAATTTGCTAAGTAAAAATCCAATCAACTGTTTAGATTAAATTCGATTAGATTGTGGTACTAAAACAACTACCAGAGATAGACAATCTATGCAGAGAAAATCCATCTTTGTTAACACCAGAATGGATGACTTGGAGTTAATAATGGTGGGTTTTTCTAGGGAGGAGAGAGGGGTTGGTAAAAAAAATCCACAGTCCTGATTTCTTGAGACATCGAGGGCTAAAATGTCTAATAAGTAGTGTTAACAAGTATGTTTCTTTATGATGGTCACTTAATAGTCTTTACCATGCAGCATCATAGACTATGCTGTTGAACGCTTCTAACTTTTCAGTAGTATCTCCAGAAACTTCTGTAAGAAGTTCTAAAATATCAGACATATGGTCCACCTTACTAGCTCCAGGGACACTGGTGAAATATTTAAGGTTGATGATAAATGAAGATTCAGAAAAGAAACAAGATGCAAAAGGATGGCTCCATTGCTACATCTAGGAGTTCCAGGGGTGTGGCAAAAATCTCTAACCCACTTCTGGATTATTGGCAAAAAATTCTATCTTTGTCCTGTATGATCATGTCCTTTATCTTGGGGATCACTGGTACTGTACAAATAATGTTTGTTTTTAAGAAAATGTTATTAAATAACAAGGTATCTTGTCAACAAGACCTTTGCCCTCCTCTGAAGGAAAAATGCAGATTTTGAGTGTGGGAAACAGATCTATCTGCAAGAGGACTTGACCGTGAAATCTTTTAATGCCCATTCTTGTTGAAGGCTGTCTGTTTCTGCTTATTTCATCCACAAATGCATTATCCTTGCATGAAAGATGGATTGCTACATGGGTTATGAGTTGACGGATGTACCCATTTCCAAAGATTGATCCCTTCTCAGCACAGACAATTTCATCAAACCCTTCTCTGGCAATCTGCAGAGCGTAACACTGGCATTCATCTTCTCCACCACATTACTTTCCTTTGAATATAGGGAATGCATTTTGAATGAAGGCTGAATTACTCTCAGTAGTTAAGTGCACATGTATAACTTGGTCTCCCAAAAGTTTCTCACAGTCAATTGGCTCAGTCTCTCCCAAAAGTTTCACACAGTCAACTGGCTCAGTAAGGCCTTTGGTGATTTGAAAGGGTTACCTCTTGCAAATACTGAGCAAGTTAGTCCATGATACAAAAAGAGACAGACATCTTGCAGGATAATTAAAACAAAGTTAAAATTGCCAACAGACTTATGAAGATAAATAAACCATCAGTCCCAAGTAGCCCTAGAGAAATACTAGTTTTTGAGGCTGAGATTATAATGATTGTACAAAATCCAAAGACAGACAACAGCCCTTCAGTCAGCTCTTCTTGTAGTGATAGCTGTATAGCTTCTGAATAGGAATTTGTGTGAGAAGAATCATGGGCAACTTCTAGAAAATACTTTGCTACTGCAACTCCCCTTTGTGACTTCTTTTCATCTTCTTCAGATCCTCAAAGATGATGTTCCAACATTGGAACAAGCATATACCACGTTATAAAGTCATACATAGTCCAAAAAGTTCTGTAGTTTGCCACTTTGACATGCATCTGACGAAGTGGGTCTTTGCCCATGAAAGCTTATGCTCCAATACATCTGTTAGTCTATAATGTGCTATAGGACTCATTGTCGCTTTTTTTGATCTATAAAGTAATTTCTGGTTGAGCATATTAATCTTCTTGGCACCTTTTAGCTTGTGGTATTTTCATTTGGCCCTTCTTTTTAAAGAAGCCATAAAAAACAATAAGATTGGTTTATTTGGGGGGAGGGAGGGGATCAAACCCTTATATAAAGGACCTGGTATAACTGGTCAGCCTACAAAGATGATGGTGAGATTAAAAAAAAAGGTTACTTACCTTCGTAAGTGTTGTTCTTCGAGATGGAATGGACATGAGCAACACATCTCGAAGAACAACAGTTACGAAGGTAAGTAACCATTTTTTCTTCTTCGAGTGAATGCTCATGTCTATTCCATGTAGGTGACTCCAAAGCAGAAACCATAGGAGGCGAGAGTGGCGTTCTAACCTTCCAAAGAACAGAGGATAGCCCTACCAAGAGCTGCATTCTCCCTAGCCTGGTAAGCCACAGCATAGTGGTTAGCAAAGGTGTGGACCAACGACCACATGGCAGCCCTACAGGTCCAGAATAGGGACCTGAGCCACAAAAGCAGCAGAGGCGGCCTGCGCCCTAGTAGATTGGGCCATGAGGGGCGGAGCCAGAACCCCAGCCAAGCCTTAAAACTTATTTATGCAGGTTATCCAAGAAGAGATCCTCTGAGCAGATACACTGGCTGACCCTGGAGCCTCTCCATGATTGCTACGAACAACTGTGGGGACTTAGGAAATGGCCTTGTCCTGTCTAAATAAAAAGCCAGAGCTCTCCTGACATCTAGCATGTGTAGAGCCTGTTCTTTACCAGAGGCATGGGACTTAGAGTAAAACACTGAGGGGTACAGCTAGACTACACCTTTCTGTCAACAGAGAGATGTAGATTAGGCACGTCGAAATTGCTAATGAAGCAGTGATTTAAATATCCCATGCTTCACTAGCATAAACATGGCTGCCACTTTTTTCAAAATGGAGCTTTTTCGGAAAAACAGCAGTCTTGACACGGATCTGTCGAAAAATAAACCCTTTTTCGAAAGAACCTGTAAACTTCATTTTTTGAAAAAAGCGGTGGCCATGTTTATGCTAATGAAGCCCAGGATATTTAAATCCCTGCTTCATTAGCAATTTTGACGTGCCTAATCTACATCTGTCGACAGAGAGGTGTAGTCTAGACACAGTCTGGGAGAAAAATGTCTTGAGACAATGTCTTTGGTAGGAAGGCGAGATGAGGACTTATCCTAACCTTGTCCTTGAAGAAGACTGTGTAAACAGGATCTGAAGTAAGGGCTCTTAACTCTGATACATGCCTGGCTGACATGATAATCACTAAAAATGACACCTTCCAGGAGAGGTACAGAAGGGAACAGGTCCTCAGCAGTCTGGGAGAAAAATGTCTTGAGACAATGTCTTTGGTAGGAAGGCGAGATGAGGACTTATCCTAACCTTGTCCTTGAAGAAGACTGTGTAAACAGGATCTGAAGTAAGGGCTCTTAACTCTGATACATGCCTGGCTGACATGATAATCACTAAAAATGACACCTTCCAGGAGAGGTACAGAAGGGAACAGGTCCTCAGAGGCTCAAGGGAGCCGGCGGGGGGGGGGGGTGGGGGGGGG